AATCATATCTTTAGATCCGAGGTCCGTCACCAGACATGCATGCTTACTCTTGTGATCTCCGATCTTGAGAAAAGCCATGACCATAGTCCTTATATGACCTCCTTTGTTTACAGATCCATCGGCATTAATAACAGTGAAAGGATGTGGCAAATCCTCTTCAAACAGGTTATTTTCCTCGACGAACCGGCGGTTGATACATGTTGAAAATGCACCACTATCAACTAGTGCATTTGTTACTACCTCTTTCTTTCCTTTTGCTGTTATGATCACAGGCACAGTAAATTTGTTTTTCGTCTTTGACAAATTAAATATGCAAGAATCATCTGCTATTTTACAAATTCTGTGCTGGTCTTTCATACTATTACAAATGAAAGAATGTTCTACGCCTGACTGTCTGGTAGACTCTACCACAGGTGTCGACCAAAACCCTGCTCATTATCCTCATCAGAGTCAATCTCCGAGATATGACCTGACGGACTTGGCGAGCGTGAAGGCTCAACGATCCTTGTGATCTTGACCTTCTGGTGTTTCTTCTTTGAAGGGCCCAGGTACCACTTCGGGGGTAACCGCTGCCGCTTCAATGGCCTTTACTGGTTTCGGAGGGTTACCAGTTCCCTTTGACTTTCGCACAACTTGAATTTCCACGTCCGAATCATCATCACTGGACAATTCAATTTGTCGAATTCTTCTAAACTGAGGTTTAGAGAAATCCGTTGATTTCCCTTTGCTACCTCCAGTTGTAGAAGCTGTGTTTGCTGCTGCGGGTTTAGCCACAGAGTCTCCTGTTTTCTTATTAGGGCAGTTCCTGCCCCAATGTCCCTTGATGCCGCAAATGTAGCATATGCCCTTCTTCTGGGCCTCCTGCATACTCAAAGCATTGCCCTCCTGCCTTTTCCTCGGGTCAGGAGCGCTCCTTTGCTGTTGAGTTTGTCTGGAGCCAGACTGTCTTTGCTTGGATGTATTATCCACCTCCATGGTGTTCGGATCCTTTGATGACAATGGACCCATTGATGAAACCGATTGTTGAATATCCATGTCTTTACAAATGTCAAGTACATAATCACAGTAATCTGACCATTTCTTTGGCCACTGGGAACTTCCCCTGGCCACCAAGACGTTTTTGATCTCCCTATGCAATCTATCTCTGATTGCTGCGATCAATTCAGAATCGGTTGACTTCACGAGGTCTGCTAGACCTCTGAATTCACCGATGAACTTAGCAGTATCTTTTGCTGCTACAGTTTCGTATTTCTTGAGCATTCTCAAGAATTCCTGACATGCATCTTCATCTTGATCCATCGTGGTAAAGGCTCTTCGCATTTGGTGTAGGAAATCATCATATTTCCCCAAATCCTTGGAGTCTTTAACCATGCGATAATAATTGCCAGCCACTACGTGGGCTCGGCCTTCCAATAAAGCCAGTACACCAGTAATTCAGTCTCTATCCGAAGTTACTCTTTGGTGCGTGTACCATACAGCCAGTTTTTCAACGAATTGTTCAAAGGTCTGTTCCTTTGAGTTGTTTGCGAACCTTCCTGGTTGTGCAATTCAGAACCTTCTCTCTTCTTGTTCTAATGACATGCTTGTTGCTGGTCGTTGTGCCATTTGTGCCACATGTTGATTTAATTGCTCTACAAGCGAATTATAATCCATCCTCAATTGTTCATTCGCATGTTCTACCACTGCCAAGTGCACATCAGCTGCTGTGATTTCAGACTGTTGGTCTACAGATCTTCGGTCCATGTGCCCTAGCTGAGTAAATACATCCCTGAATACTCTTTGAATTTCTAATTGAAGGGACCTAGTGGTAGATTCCAATATCTCCTTCCAGGCCCTTCTAGTAGTTTCATTGTTTTCTCCAGGAAAGTATCTCGCTATTACTCTCTCATTGATTTGAGGGTTTAATAGATACCAAGAGAGATCAGGTTCAGTCCCAGTCATTGGTATAGATGTAGAAGATGTCGACATGTTTTAATTGCAGGTGTTTTATATGTGATACAAACTTTCATAGTAAGCATCCTTGGTTTACTACTGATGTCCGATGTCCTAAAAGATAAAAACTTCAGAGCGTGTTATTCCAAATAACACTGTCTCTGCCCAACTCTGCATGGTCACTCTCTCTCAATATCTCCTTCACAAGTCGTCCGAGATTTCTATATCTCGCGTCACTGAACTTGTCCCTGACTCAATTAACAAACTGCACAAGTAACCTCCTGGTTACTGGTCCGTATACATCTGCGCCGCGGTGATTGATATTTGATAGGATGCCTCCTATCCATTGTATCAAGAAGCAGATCTGCTCCTGCTGCGTCGTATTCAAAAGTGAGTAGCCCACCTTATGCTGCAGACCTTGAAGATTGCAATGGACCCGGTTTAAGGTGTTGCTTGTTTACAAAGGCGGATGAGTCTTCTCTCCGTCTCCTTTGTCTGTGAGTCTGACATACCCCTTCAGCCCTCATATAGGGTTGTGGTATGTACTCGGTAGTTTGTTCAGGTCCCGCTCGGAACCTGTCAATGTCCTGCTGGACGCTGTCTGTGATGGGGGTAGGGGGGCATGTACGAGAGTATGGATGATAGTACCGTTGCTCTCCCGGTGTATCCCTAAGAGTTGTCCTCCTGCTTTGCAGCCAGGGAGGAAAAGGTCTTGAGGGGGCCGCGCGTTCTCAATGGTCTCCTTCTGAGATTGAGTCGCTTATACTGCTCTCACTGCTGATGACTGTGCTGGAGGTTATTGGGTCCTCCGCTATTTCTCCTGTGGGCTCCATATACTTGAGAGGCTCTTCCTCTTGCCTTGTTTCTTTGATGCCTTCAGCAAGGCCCAAGAAATCGGGGCAAAGACGGTTGTCCTTGTACGTGGGGGGCGCTGGGATATATGCTGGTGGTGCCGGCAAGTAAGGTAGAGCAGGTTCTCTCCTTAACTTGTCCTCATGAGGGTGATGATGTGGTGCGACACTCAGGTCGAAGTCATTCGGGTCGCCGCCCAATTCTTCTGTTTGAGCTCGCTCGACTACTCTGCTTATCAGGTCGTGCTGGACTGCAGTGAGTATAAACTCTGCTTCAGGTCCTCCTACTCGACGCCAAAGTTCTTCGTCTTCGAATTGTGCCCTCGAGATCTCAGCTAGATCCGGGGAATCTGTAATTTGTTGCAAAAACCACTGGGTTGGAATAGGTTGGCAAGGTGATGAAGGGATAGGCAACTCGCTTGCCTGTACTTCTTCCGCTACATTCGAATCCTGTTCTCCAAGCCTGATAGACTCCCTAAGAGTCTCTGCTAATCCAATGTACTCTCTAAAGAGCTCTTCCTCGGCAGGTCTTTCTAAGCCTCCGGTGGCGACACTTGCAAGTTGTCCTTCGACGAATTGAAGTTGATCGGTAGGGGTCCCAAAGAATGGGAAAGAGGAATGGGGGGATGGGGTACGAGCTTCTTGAAGGTCCTGGGCAAACTGGGAAGCATGCAACGACACTTCCCAAGGGAGTGAGTTTATCTGTAGAAAGATTGAGACAGTCCAAGAAGGAAAGTGTGGTCGACAATAGAAGTCGACTAATAAGATAGACTAGTTATAATGTCAAGGTATCGCCCTGATACTTGACTCCTCTCTAACCCTAACCCTCAAACACTCACTTGTAGTGAAAGAAGGTTGATATAGGCTTTTCGACTAAGGGGTCGGGCTTATAGGAACTGGTGAGTTCAGAGTTAGGAGTGAGGAAGTTGATGATGGTAAACCAGTATAACTAGTCTGCCCTCTCAACGCTGCATTGCTCTGGTATTTTATACATGAGGGACCAGACCTATACTACTGGTAGTACACTGAACACCTAGGCTGACTGATGCTCCTAATACACTATTGGTTATCTAAGTATATCCAATCATACGTGTGAGCCATCACCATGTGTTGGGTCAGCAGTCTTATCTTGTGATAATCACCTGAATGACCATGTGTATCTCTAGTACAAATGGGGAAATCTTGTGTGAACGTATGATAGCC